ACTACTACTACTACTACTACTACGAGGACTACTGCTACTACTATTGTTATTACTATCGCTACAACTACGACTATTACCAATACTACTGCTACGGTTACAACTCTTACCATTATTACTACTACTACTACTACTACTACTACTACTACTACTACTACGACTACTACGACTACTACGACTACTACGACTACGACTACGACTACGACTACGACTACGACTACTACTACTACTACTACTACTACTACTACTACTACTACTACTACTACTACTCTACTACTACTAACTACTACTCACTATACTACTACTACTACGACTACTACTACTACTACTACTACTACTACTACTACTACTACGAACGCCTATCACCACTACCACTACTACTACTACTACTATTATTACGACCTACGACTACGACGGCGACGACGACGACGACGACGACGACTACTACTACTACTACTACTACTACTACTACTGCTACGGCTACGGCTACTGCTACTGCTACTGCTACTACTACTACTACTACTACTACTACTACTACTACTACTACTACTACTACTACTACTACTACTACTACTACTACTACTACTACTACTATACTACTACTACTACTACTACTACTACTACTACTACTACTACTACTACTACTACTACTACTACTACTACTACTACTACTACTACTACTACTACTACTACTACTACTACTACTACTACTACTACTACTACTACTACTACTACTACTACTACTACTACTACTACGACTACGAATAGGAGGATCCATTTTGCATAGTTTAGCATCGATGCGCTTCTGTGCGGTGTTGCTTACGCTTCGGTGCCCTCTTGCTCATCTTAGCATAGTGCTCGTGCGCAGACCAAAACTGAGACCAATTCCAACTCTGGCACGTATGTTGGCTTCCAAAACCCCTGCGTTGACATAAGAGGTGTCACTTGGTTTTCACAGTCGGCTTGGGCTTCTCTACAATTAAAAACTTATTGTGGGGCTACCACAAGTATGTTGGATTTGGGCCCAGTTGCTTGGGATTCGGCCCACATGCGGGTCCGACCCCCCCCCTTCCCCCGTTTGGATGCAAAATTCGCCCCCCCCCCCTTTCGCCACGGCGCCCCCGGTCTCCGGAACCCGACCCCTACCACCCCTAACAATAATCCTCACCCTTACCCTACCCCCTAACCCTGACCCCAAACCCAAACCCTAGCCCCACACAGTCCTCACTACTCACTACGCACTACTCACTACCCACAATGCACTACTCTCTACTCACTACTCACTTCTCACTACTCACTATTCAGTAATCACGACTCACTACTCACTACCCACGACTTACTACCCACGACGCACCACTCACTACTCCCTACTCCCTACTCACTACTTACTCACTACTTACTCACTACAAACTACTCACTACTCCCTACTCACTAATCAAGACTCACTACTCACCACACACTGTTCACTAATCACACATCACTACTCACTACTCACTAACCACTATCCATTACTCACTGCTCACACTTCACTACTCACTACTCACTGCCCACAACTCAGTACTCACTATCCACGACACGCTACTCGCTACTCCCTACTCACTACACAGTACTCACTACTCACTACTCACGCCTCGCTACTCCCTACGCCCTACTCGCTACCCAATACGCACTAGTCACTACCCACGACTCACTACTTTCTACGCTCCAACTACTCACGACTCACTACTACCCACTCCGTACTCACTACTCCCAAGTCACTACACACTACTCCCTACTCACTACCCCCTTCTCACTACTCACAACTCACTACTCACTACTCACTACTCACGACTCACTACCCACGACGTAGGACTCACTACTCCCTACTCCCTACTCACTATTCACTACCCACAACAAGCTACTCACTAATCTCTACACACTACTCAGTACTCACTACTCACGAAACACAACTCACTACCCACTACTCGCTAATCAGAAATCACTACTCTCTACCCACAAACCACTAACCATTACTCACTACTCACACTTCACTACTCACGACTCACTGCCCACAACTCACTACTCACTATCCACGCCTCGCTACTCGCTACTCCGTACCCCTTACACAATACTCACTACTCACTACTCACTACTCGCTGCTCCCTACGCCCTACGCGCTCCCCAATACGCACTTTTCACTACCCACTACTCACTACTCACTATGCTCCCGCTGCTCACTACTCACTACTACCTACTCCCTACTCACTACTCCCAACTCACTACTCACTACTCCCTACTCACTACGCCCTACTCACTACTCACAACTCACTACTCACTACTCGCTACTCTCTACTCGCTACGCACTACTCTCTGCTCACTACTCACTAATGACTCTTGACTAGTCCCTCCTCACTACTCACTACTCACAACGCCCTACTCGCTACTCACTACTCACTACCCGCTACTCCCTACTCGCCATTCCCTATTCGCTACTCGCTACTCACCACTCACTATTCACAATTCTCTACTCACTGCGCACTACTCAGTACTCACTACTCACTACTCACTCCTCGCTATTCGCTACTGCCTACCCCCTCATCCCTACTCCCTGACTACTACTTACTCACACTGCACTACTCACTACACACTACGCAATCCTCCCTACTCACTAAGCACAATTCCTTACTCACTACTTCCTTCCCACTACTCATTACCCACCCCTCACTACTCGCTGAGCACGAATCTCTACGCGCTACTCACTACTACCACTACCCATTACCCACTGTACCCACTACTCACCACTCCGGACCCACCGCGCACTACTCATTATCAAATGCCCACTACTCACCAACCGCTACTCAAATCACTCTACTCCCTACTCAGTACCCGGGAAGCCCCCTCCCCAGCCCCCTGTTCGGCGCAAAAGGGGGGAGGGGGGGGGGGTCGAACCCCCGCCCCTTTCCAGCGCCAAGGGGGGGAGGGGGGGGGGGGCGAAAATCTCACCCCCTTTTGAAGGGGGGGAGGGGGGGGGTTCTGCTAGCACCCACCCCCTTGTGTGTATTCAGGGCCATCCACTGGCGCGCTTTCGCAATCTAGGATCATTTTCACCCTGCGGAGGCAACCCCCTGTGTTGGCTGTGGTGCCTATTGCCAGGCCTCCAAAATTCTGCGCGGGCCTCCGAGAAATGCTGATCATGCTTAAGTCGGGGCTGTCCCCCTACAGGAGGAATATTCAAAAGTAGTAAATAATAGTACGTGGACGATTTTCTTTATCTTTTTAGCACATCTTGAGCATGTGTTGAGCATCTTTAACTTTTCGTCCAAAATCCGCCTGTAGGGAGACATGCCCGACCTAAGTTTATGCAGTGGTTTGTTTGTTTTTTTCGTCGTCCAAGTTTGTTGAAGCAGGGTCTGGAAGCTGAAGCGCCCTGGGCGTGGCCCCCGCTGTGCTGCGTGCAGCAGGGGCTTGTGCCTCGCCCGCCCAGGACGGGGGCCGCCCGTCAGCGACGGGTCGCAGCTTCGAGATCAGTGCCCCCCCCCCGTCCTGCAAATCATGGGGCCCGCTGAGGGCTCCCGGCTGCCGAAAATAACCCCAAGCCAGCTGCTCCAATTCTTCACGCTTCGCGTAATTATCCCCACCAGCCCATTTGAAAGCCCTGCCCACGAGAGTTGACGGGGCAAGGGACGAAGAGACACATGTAGTGAAACATAGCGGGCAACCAGGGTGAATAGGGAGATCTCTGGGAGCAAGGGGGTGGCCCTGGAGAGCCTCTTCGGGCCATCCCTGGGGCCCGCGTGGGGGCGAGGGAAGAAGGAGAAGGAGGAGAAGGACGATGACGACGACGACGACGAAGACGACCACCACGACCACGACCACGACCACGACAAAGAGGAAGAGGACAAGGAAAAGAAGGACGATGAGGGCAAGGACGAGGACGAGGACGAGGAGGACGACGAGGACGAGGACAGAGCCCTCAAATCGCCTCTTGGAGCCCTCTTTGGACTCTTGTGGGGGATCTTGGGGTTCTCTTGGGGCTCTTTGGGGGGTCGTGGGGCCCTCTTGGGGCCCTCTTGGAGCCCTCTTGGGGGTCCTTGGGAGCCCTGGATGGCCTCTTGGGCCATCCTGGAGGCCATCGATCAAAAGGGGGAGTACGTACTGGGGCCCCCAAATTTGGTTCCCCCCTGGGGCCATCAAAATCGCTTCTTGGGACCCTCTTGAGCGCTCTTGGGCTGCTCTTAGGCGCTCTTGGGGCCGTCTGGGGTGCCCCTTGGGCCCATCTTGGGCCTCTCTTAGGCCAGCTTGGGGTCACCTGGGGGCCACCTTGAGGGGTCCGGCGCGGCTCTCCGAGAACTCTCGCAGGCCCAGAGGTTGACACCAACTCCGAGTTCGGCGTCTGCCTCCACCGGGGGAAGACGATGCCGATCTCGGCGAGGGTGGTAATATTCTGGCTTCCAGGGTGACCGAAACATTTCCGCCAATACCGCAATCTAGGATCATCTTCCCCTGCGGAGGCAGCCCCCTGTGTTGGTGTTGGTGCCTATTGCCAGGCCTCCAAAATTCTGCGCGGGTCTCCGAGAAATGTTGCTCATGCTTAAGTCGGGCCTGTCCCCCTACAGGAGGAATATTCAAAAGTAGGGGCCCGACCACAAGAAACCTTCCACAAAAAACTCAACCCTGAGACCCCAGGACGTCCATTGATTTCTGGTGTGAGAACGTCGCGCCTTCCGTAGCAAAACCATCGACACCCAAGAAACCCAGGGCACCTTGGAGGCAAGCAGGGTGTTTCTTGGCATGGGTCTCCTCTGTAAGCGGCGAGACCCTTTCTGGAAGGCTTTCTGGAGCTCGCCATCGCTCGGACGTTTATTCCCTGTGTTTTGTTCGGTTTCGTGCGTGGTTTTTTGGCCAAATAATCAAGGATGCTCCTCGATGGTGCTCGCCGAAGGAACGATGCACACGTCCGAGCGGTGCCAAGCCGAGGTGAAGCGGCGACGAGGCGGCAGAAAACGAGCGGGCTGGCACCCCGCCTGCGCAGCGCCGCGGGCGCCAGCACCGCGGCGGGCACGGCAAAGCCTTGCGGAGGGCGGTCAGACCGCGATCTCCGCCCCCTCCCAACAGGGCCCGGGATGCGAGGCGGGGAGCTCCTCCTCCTCCTCCTCCTCCTCCTCCTCCTCCTCCTCCTCCTCCTCCTCCTCCTCCTCCTTGTTTTTCTCTCCTCCTTGTCTCCCTCCTCCTCCTCCTCCTCCTCCTCCTCCTCCTCCTCCTCCTCTCTCCTCCTCCTCCTCCTCCCTCCTCTCCTCTCCTCCTCCCTCTCCTCCCTCCTCCCCCCTCCTCCTCCTCATCCTCCTCCTCCCGTGGCCCGCGCCTGTAGGATCGATACTCAATAGTAACATCCGCAACGCAGGCACTGTGAAGGCTGGCCAGCGACGCGCTTGCTTGCACAGGTTGTGGCCGAATCCGTTGGTTGAATGTGTGTACGCCTTGCAGGAGGACGAGGGCATGGATGAGCCCTAGTTGAAGCATTGCACCCGCTAGTGAACATGCCCCTCGCTAGACACAGACACAAATAATCAAACACACAGACAGCATAAACTCCCAGCAGTCGGGCATGCTCTCGCCATCTCTCCTCTCTCGCCGTCGTCCGTCTGCCCTCACCACTGCACTCCTCAACCTCCCCTCTCCTGTCAGAGCAAAGCGTATTGAGACACCAACAGAAAAGTCGGCCCCTGGACCCCACCCAGGGTCCAAACGCACGAGTTCTGCGGGCTGCGTTCCGCCGTGGAGGCCCACCGAAGGCTAGCACTCGCTGTCTGGATTCGCCCGTCTCTGGCCTGCGCTCCCGTCTCCGCACCACCGGAACCTTCGCGGAGGGCGGCAGACGCCAATGGCCGAGTCGAGACATTGGAGAGGACGCCACGTGCAGCCCGAAGGCGGAGCCTCGCGCTGCCTCGCCCGGGGCGTCGGGGCCGACCGCAGCGGAGTGGCACAGTTCACCTCGGAGTGGCCTGCCAATCTTGCACTCTTGCCTTCCGCATCGAGAACACAAGCAAAGATGCCCAACCACCTGCAGTAGGCAAGCCCAGAGCCACGCGAGAGCCAACCTGCAGCGGGCGGGCCAACACGCGAAACCTCGGCCTCTGCAGATGAAGCAGAAGGGCGCGCCCCCTGGTAACGTCGTATGCTCACTCTGCCGAGCTTGGGCGGCAGCGCCCCCCCCACTGCCTGCCGCCATCGCCACAACGAAGACGGCGACGACGGTGCTGGTGCGCTCCCTCGGCCTCGCCAGGATGACCCAAGGTCGAATCGGAAAACCGAGTCGCCATCGTGTGTAACATCGGCAGAAATCGGGAGGCACATCGCGTGGCATCGAAATCGACGCCCAGCGGCCCGAACCGAGGCCTGCACAAGGAAGCCCAGACCGAAGGTCACAATCTGAGGTCGTATCGGATCGAACCGACATGGCTCCTGCCTCGCGGGCGTCCTCCGCGGTGCCGCGCGCGTGGGCTTCTCGGCCGTGCCGTCCGCGTACCTCCGGGGAGAGGGGGGTGGGAGGGGCCTCCTTTGTCGGTCGGAGGTGTAAGAATAGGGTCCTGAGTTGTGGGGTCATAAGGACGTGGTGCCGGAAACAACGTACATACACGCGTGGATCCCTTCCTACCCTTAGGACTCCGGACCCCATCTCTCGGGACCCCATCTTTGAACCACCGAGTTGGGTTTTCTGGTCAGAAGGCAAGCTGGGCAACGACGGCCTGGCTCGGAGCCCAAACTCCTCCTTTGTCCTCTTCCTGCCCCGCGCCCCTCGCCTGCGCGCGCTGTCGCCGTTCGACACGCGGCGGCTGAGGTGTTTCAGCCGCGTGCGCTGCAGGAGAGGCTGCCCTGTCGCCCAGGACAGGCCTGGGAGTATGCGGCAGGCTCGTTTGCGTCGGCCCTGCACTCGTGCTGAGTGCTGGGTTGACCAGGCACGCTGAATCCACGCTGAATCCTTGTCATCCTTCACCACCTCCTCCTCCTTTTCCTCTTTTCCATACTTTTCCTCCGTCCTCCTCCTCCTCCACACTCTCCTGTTCCTCCTCTTCCTGCCGATCCTCTCTCTCTCTGTCTCTCCTCTTCTGCGCACCTCCTGGCACACAGGTGGACAGGATCACGTTGAATTGCCCGGCCCTGAGCTGGACTGGAATTCCCTGATGGAGCACTCCTCTTCCTCCTCGTCCTCCTCCTCCTTCTCCTCCTCCTCCTCCTCCTCCTCTTCCTCCTCCATCTTCTCCTCGTCCTCCTCCTCCTCTTTCTCCTCCTCTCCTCCTCCTCCTCGACCTCCTCCTCCTCCTCCTCCTCCTCCTCCTCCTCCTCCTCCTCCTGCCCCCTCATTCCAACATCAAAACAGGTGGCATCATTTCTCGGAAGTTCGCGCGGATTTCTTGGATCGGCGCTGGACCCGCCTCCGACGCGCGGAGCGCGCCAGGAGCGGCGCCCGAAGCGCCGCCAGGGTGGCCCAGCCCCGATACAAGAAATCCGCGCGAGCTCCGAGAGATTATGTCCATGCAATTCGGGTTTTTTCGGCTCACTCCTAGTTGGAGGCCTCAAAACGGGGTCCGAGCAAATAAGGTTGGAGGATCCCGCCGAAATCGGCGATGCATCGCATCGAAAATGCATTGGCGATGCATCGGCGACGTCGGCGTACAGAGGATCGGACGCCACATCGAACCGCATGTCCGATGCATCGGTGATGAGGCGGGATCCTCCGACTCCATCTGCTCGGACCTCAATACGGCGTCCACGTTGGGAACCGATCGTGCTGCGGAAGGCCCGGTACGGCCCTTACGCTGGACAAGGGCCATGTTGCGGAAGGCCCACAATACGGTGTCTTCGTTGGTGTGGTGGTCAACCATGTGACGGAAGGCCCGTTCAGTTTGGGAAGGTCCAGGTCTCGGGCGAGCCCGTCCCCGAGGGGGAAGAAGGGGGAGATGGACGAGGAGCAACCCCAAACCACTGACGCCCACAGGGCTGGTGGGATCGTATGCATGTGGCTGTTCGAGCTGCGGCCCATCCCTCGTGCACCTCGTCACCCCTCAGCCCTCCTCCGCCCCGGATCCTGGGTCTTCCAGACGCGCCCAGGCCGCCCGCGCGGCCCCCGAGGCAGCTGCGAGAGCTCCCGGTGAAGCGGCGAGAGCTCCCCGCGTCCCCACCGACGGCCGGGAACTTTTGCACCGCGTGCCGCGGCGGCGGCCCCCAGCGACGCGCTGTGCCCTGCGACTGGATAGTGTGCGGCTCCGCTCCGCGGGGCGGGGGGCTCGGAAACGCTCGGGACGCTGACGCCTCGGGACCGGGAGGTGGATAGCGGCAGGTCGGGCATGTCCCCCCACAGGCGGATCTTGGGCGCAAAATTGAAAATTCAAAAAATATGCAAGCATGGCATAGCCGAAGAATAATACAAAATCGTCCCCAGACTAATCTTTGGCTATTTTTCAATTTCCACCCTGCAGAGGGACACGCCCAACTTCAGGACAGCGTGTGGCGCCGGAGCGTGGTGGGCCAGAACGGGCGGCGCGGCACGCGCCCAACCGTTCCCGAGCGAGCCATCGTGCTATCGCCCCGAGGCCCAAGCGTTGCACTCCCTCCCTCCTCCTCCTCCTCCTCCTCCTCCCCCTCTTCCTCCTCCTTTTTCTCCGCCTCCTCCCTCTTCCCACCCCATCCACCGTTTTGGGTTCTCGTTCTGAACGGATCGGCGGTGAGCCCGAGGGGGAGGCGAGAAGGGGAACGCCTTTTCGGAGGGCTCGGCCTTCCGAGAAGTTTTCTGAGCCTAAGACGCAGAAAACTCCTCCGAAGGCGCGAGGGCTTCTGAGAAGTCTCGCTGCCTTCTGAGAAGGCCTTCTCCCTCTGCCTTCCCCCCCTCGTTCGCCGCCGGACAGAGCACTGTGGTCGCGTCCCTCCTTCCCGCATCCTTCCCTCCTCTCTCTGTGCATCTCTTTTTTTGTTTTTCTCTCTCTCTCTCTCTTGCTCTCTCTCTCTCTCTCTCTCTTTCTCTCTCTCTCTCTCTCTTTTTCCGGAGTGAGCATCGGTCCTGACAATCGTCAGGCAGCGAGCGACCCGCGGCCAGAGCGTTCCGCGGAGTGCCGGATGCACTGCGGGCGAGGATGACCTGCCCCGCCCCCGAAAGCGGTGCGACAGGCTGGCCGCGCCTCTCCTAGGGGGCCACGTGCGAACCATACCCCTACCCCCCACGATTTCTGAGGGGAAGGGTGGGGTTCACTTTGCTCGGGGGCTCCCGAGCGAAGTGACCCCCCCCCTCCCC